GTGCCCCCGCCTCGCTCTCCCCGGCCTGGGCGCCTTCCGCGCACTCCTCGGTCTCCGGCTTAGCCGCGTTGCAGCGCGAGTCCGCAGGTCCCCGCGGGCCGCCCTCAATTATTCATCGGCAGGAAGATATTAGATGTACTCGCTGTCCGCTCCGCGCGGGCCGTCGTGCAATGCTATCCGAGCTCCGCGCGCGCATCCGCGCCCCTCCTCCTCCTCCTCACGTCCGTCCTCTCTGAAACCTTGGCAGCGGAGGGGGATCACATTTCCTTTGTCATCGGGCCATTTCGCCCAAGCTTTGGTCCCCCCTCCGATCCCGAGCCTCGGGGACGGAGCCTTCTCCCGGGCGTGTTGGAATCAGTGGAACCGGCGACGGGCCCGCGCGGCGCGTTTTGGAGCCGCGTGGCGAACGCCGCTGGCTCCTGCCTGAGTCATCTTCTTTCTGAAACGAGTCGCCGAGCAGGACGCGGGTGGCCCAGGCTGCGCTGCGCCTACTGGGCTTTGCTCTCGCGGTGCCCTGGCCTCCTAGGGCTTTGCACAACTCCCCCAGCTCGGGATGCGTGCGTCCGCGCGCGCGCACGCGCGATCCCTTTCTCTGCTTTGCCGCCTCTTCCTCCTCCTCTTCTCTGTACGCCGGTTATTGGGACTGATCGGAATTCGGAATCCTTTTAATCTCCAAAGGAGCAAACTCACTTCCGCCCGAGAGCGGGGAGGGGGTTGGGGGAGGGGAGGCTCAAACAGGAAACATTAGCCCTCTCGGCTCGGCCGCTTTTGTGTGCTCCCTCCCTCCTCCCACCGACCTCCTCCCTTCTCCTGCCGCTGGGGAGATGAACGCCCCCGGGCTTCAGTGTGACGACCTTTGAAACCTTCCTATCGAGGAGCGGAGAGGACTCTTCCGTTTATTTAAAAAAGAAAAGACAAGACTTCATTCTCAATCCCTGGCTCCGCGGAGGCTAATGTCCACGGCCCTGGACATGAATTCCCCCCGCCCGACCTTTCCTTTTTTTTTTTAACCCCCCCCCTTCCACGTTTCTTAAAGGCTCTGCGTATCTGTGGTCAACACCAAAACATCACACAGTTTGCGCAGTTGGATCCCTGGAATTAAACGAATCTGAATTCTCCTTGGCAAAGGGGCCAGTTCCCTTTTGAGTTTTTACGCGGGAGGAGGGGGCAGGAGACAGCTGTTCAGGGGAGGTGACCGGGTGACGGCCCCACAGCCATCTGGGTGGTGCCTGAGGCTCTTGGACAGTTCTGAGAGAGGAACTTGCGTGACCTCAGAAAGAGGCTGACTTGGAAGGGCCAACAGGGCCACTTTCAGGATTTAGGGGGCCTGAAGGCCAACAGGCAGAACAATTGTCCTGGTCTGCACTCTGCCTCGCTGAAGGAGATCTTGGTCCTACTTAAAAGGGTATAGGCAACGACCTGGATAAAGTCTCAAAACCTCATGTTGAAAGAAGCCAGACACAAAAGAGTTCCTGCTGCAGGATTCCTTTATGTAAAGAAAATTTTAGCATAAACAAAGCTAAACTGTGGGGATAAGAAAAGTACCCTTGGGGAAAAGGAAGACTGGGAAAGGGTATGAGGAGTACTTAAATAAAAATATTTTTTGTATGTATTTTGTCAACATTTATAAATGCCCACTGTGCAGAAATTCGCTGCACAGATTGTATCAGTGAGGAAATAATGATTTAAAATCGTAGTTTCTAACCCGAATAATCATGCTTGGAGCATAATGATGGAAAAGAGTACATACACACCTCTGATTTAGCTCATCGGAATCCAGAAGATCAATCTGGAAAGAGCTCTTAAGTCCCAACTGGACCAATGTGCTGAAGAGGGAATGCTGGGGTGGGGCCAGTTCCCTGCTCAGAGAGAAGAGCTGCTCAGGCCTGGATCCTGCTGCCTGCCTGGGGCCCCAAAAGGAAGGTCCATGTCCTCAGCTGCCCTCCAGAGTCCTCTCTTCACCTAGACTAAGAATCTGCAGGAATCATCTGAAAAGTATGAGCTGTGGATCCAGTAAGAGCAAACAAAGCTCCTCTGCCAAATGAGATGAACATTTTATAATTTAAAAATTAGGGGCAAAAAGCCAGGTGTAATGCCGGGGCGTGGTGGCGCATGCCTGTAATCCCAGCACTCACTTGGGGAGACTGAGGCAGGAGGAGTGCTGTGAGTTTGAGACCAGCCTGGGCTACATAATGAGTTTCAGGTCAGTCTCAACTACATAGTGAGACCCTGTCTCAAAAAAACAAAAACTAAAAAAATATGAGCCAGGTGCAGTGGACTCACCTGTAATCCCAGCACTTGGGAGGCTGAGGC